TACGTCTGGTGTCTACATGAGCTCGTTCTGACTTCACTTCCAGCTCTCTTTGTTGTCCGTAATTGTTGGGACATCTCTGAGGACGTTGCACAGGTTGAGAAACACACAGAGTGCAGAAGCGTTTATGCTAACTGTCTGCAGACTGCTGAATCTGTACGTGGCTCCCAGAACGACGAGGCCAGACTCGGTCCGCAGGTTTGGTGTTTCTGCAGTATTTTTGGAGCAAAAAAGGCCAATAGTGAAAAAATACCGACACCAATCAGGTGTAGCGGCCTGCTTAACGAAGTGGCTCTTCTCAGGATTGGAATCGTTTATCCAACACATCCCACAGATATCTGATCTACTGTTTAGCAGGAGCTAACGCCATTAGCAGGAGCTAACGCCATTAGCAGGAGCTAACGCCATTAGCAGGAGCTAACGCCATTAGCAGGAGCTAACGCCATTAGCAGGAGCTAACATGAAATTTAAACAATTGTAAGATTATAAAGTAGATGTTTTAAAGTGACATCAAAACAAATATTTAAAGCTACAATAAGTAACTTATTTAAAAAATGTTTTTACATATTTGTTGAAACCTTCACTACCTTCTCTAGGCTTAGCCTTCATGACAGGTTCTGCTGGCTGCAGCACAGCAGAGAGGATGTTGGGTGATTGACACCGCTAAGACCCGCCTCCTAACTGTGATTGGTAGAAACTGGAGCTCTTTGCATCAGATGGTTTCCTTCTGGATTAACATCTTCCAGCAACAGAAGCATAATTTTCTCTGACTCTCTCCTCTTCATCCATTTGGTCCTCCTCATCTTCATCATTTCTCGTCTGTCCAGTTCATATTGAAGCAGCTGAATGTTACTCAATGTGCAAAAATTACTGCTTTAGCTGGATGTTGCTAGCACTGTAGCACCTAGCTTATGTCATGTACCCAGGCTGCATTACAAAGTAAGCAACATGGCGACGTCCGTGTAACAATATTATATTTAAATTTAGAAAAACTAAACAGCCTACAGCATTTTACTGCACTGTTTATCATCTGAAATGAAGTCTATTGTTACAACTAATCAATTTAAATACATATATCTGTTCAAGTTATTTAATGATCGACAGTTCTGGCAGAAATCAGATTTGAGTATTTTTAATAAAAATAAAAAAAAAGGTGATTTAATCAGAGTAAATTCATATTTTAACAAAAGGGCACTTACTTTTAAACATAGGGTTAGATTAGTCAGACTGATGACCTGAAACATTTAATAAACATAAAATAAGTGACACGGCGTAGGAGTATGAATTACTTTTCATGTGAGGTTCGAAGGTAAATGAAACTTGAGCACATTAAATAAAGAGCGTTTTGGGAAAACAAAACCATCTGATATGATTTTAAAGAAACTTACAAGGGGAAACTCTCCCATTCATCATCAGAACATAAAACGATTTATTTTGAATTCAGCCCATAAAACGGTTTTCTTTTGTCTCCACAGAACTGGAATTACAGCCGTGTTTTAAGACGAGCTGCACAGCCTCCCTGCAGTGCTCAGAACAATTCCTTCGCGAGGCTTCAGGCCACGCTGTATTTTCTTTAGTCTTCATGTCGTTGAGCTTTAATTGACTCAACAAGGATTTCGCAGTCCTCTAATGAGTCTACTTTGAGGACAAAGTCACGCTCATTAGTTCCCAATGATGCTCGATTCACTCTGAAATTTGCCAGATGTGCTTCCAGTTTAGGAGGATGTGTTTGAAGATCGTCCGTCCCAGTCTGCTCGGCGTCTCGTTGTTTAAAAGCAGCTTTTCTTCCTGTCTGCCTTTTTTTTTTTTTACATCTTTAACAAACATCTGCAGCTCTCTGCGAGGAGGATTCACTTTCTAATGTGAATACAGACACAAAAAACTGGTATGCTAAAATGAAATAAGAAATGAAATTGAGAAAAGATTTTCTTTACTGAAATAAATAAAAACGGTAATTAATGGGAAAAACTGGAACTAGCTGGAACTAAATTGATTTTATAAAACTAACAAAAACATACTGAAATTACAGATGTGATATGTTTCATGTTTATGAATCTGTTTTTTACAGCTTTTGAACTGATGTGAAATTTAAAGAAATTGCACAAATAGGAATTTCTGGTACATGGAGGTGCTGTAATAAATCCAGATACACCTCAGAAAGTACATATCTGCCACACTAGATGCACAGAAGCAGATTTTAAATGCCTAGCAGGCATTATTTTTTCACCATATTCTGGAACCCCTTTAGCACAGCGCCTCTGTGCACATAGTGCATAGCCACTGTTTTCACCCCTCAAAGTAGAAATTTCTCCTCAAAATACAAGTGAAGGAAGAAAGAAATCTGATAAAATGAGATTTAGGAGGACAAAAAGTGGAGCTTCTCATTATGCTTCTCAGACAGAATTTCCTCTTTATTCTGATGATGTTTTAACGTATAATATATTTTGACGCAGTTTTTCCTTTTACTTGATGTTTCCATTTATCTTAAAGTTGCACAAATTTTAATATATCCAAGTGCACCTAAGAAAGTGCATATAAGCACCCACAGAAGCAGATTTTAGATGCCTATTAGAAATTATTTTTTTCCCATATTCTGGCGCCCGCTCTAGCACAGCACCCCTATGTGTCGCATGTAGTGCAGGCCCACTTTTTGGGCCCCTTAAAGTTTAAATTTCTCCTAAAAATAAAAGAGGAGAAAAATCTGTTGAAATACATGCCAGGAGGACAAAAAGTGGAGGTGTTGGGGCGTGTCTGTCGGAGCAGTGGGACGGCGCCGGTTGCCGGGGCGATGGGCGATGTGAGCCGGTGATTAACGGGCGTCGTGCCACGCAGGCCGCTAAACGGTGTGGGATTAGAGGACACGCAGCGACTGGCGGCCCGCCGTTATAACTGGGAGCGCCGGAGCCGCCCCACTCGGCACGACCTCCACGGCTTAGCCGGCCTTTCATGTGCCTGGGGGCCGCGGGGAGCGGAGAGAGAGCGGAGAGGGCCGGTTCGGCGGAGATGGGGACCTAATTGCGCAGATATCAACAGATAGCTTCAGAGTTTGCAGTGGCACCCATTGATGACGTGCACAGATCGGTGGCGGTGATTGTTTCGAGCAGCAAACCCGACAATAATGAGTTTTCATGCTGATGCTTCCATGCCTACACACACACACACACACACACACACACACATGCAAACCTTCGCTTCTGTCGCCTTTTCTTCCACCTGGGGAAATAAATTACCTTTATCCAGCGTGTGCTCGTGGGTGTGTTTCCCTTTGTCCGCTTTTAAGCTTCTGAGATTCTGATTCAGCCTTTCATTTGAGACCCCCGCGCTCTCACAGACAGGTGTCTGCCTCTGCACAGCGCAGGTGGGGTTTCAGCCGCCTGCCTGTGTGTGTGTGTTTTGAAGCTGGTATTTTTCAGCTTTTGTGTGTGTGTCTGTGCAGGTCGACTGCTGTTCTGGGCTTTATTAGGATGTTGGATGTGTGCTTTGGGGTTGAGCTCGATGCTCAGCATTGCTAAGTGTGGTGAGAATTCCTCTGTGTGTTTAATCTGCATTGTTTAGCTTTGCAGTTTATTGTTTATTATCCAGAAAAAGAAAAGCAACAAAAAGCTGAAAATGACTGAGTGTCGGCTGGGTTTACTTCCTGCTGAATGTTTGTTAGCTGAGATATTTAATTGATCAACCCAAACAAAACATGTCAAATGATTCATCAAATAAATAAATCCAGTCCTTCAAAATGCATGAAAGTAATTTAATCAGAATCAGAATTATTTGCACAGTTTGACTTTAAACAGCAAAGTCAAATATTCTTCTACACGAAAGACAGAGACATCTGTAAAAGTCTTAACAGTTTGTGTCCAGAATGTGTGGGGTCTGCAAAGACGTTCAAGTGGTTCTCTGCAAGGATCGGTGGTCAAGGCACAGTAACGGGTCAGGCACGTGAAGAACAGATCAGGCAGACGAATCCAGGGACGAGGCAGAAACGGGGTCGTGTCCAGAAGCCAGAGAAGAATCCAACGTGGGCGAGGAATTTCAGGGAAATCCGAGAGACAATAAACGTGGTCGAGATAAGGAGGTAACGCTGGATATCTCCTCACACCAAAGGGCTTTCAAAAACCTGGCACCGTCTGCCTGCCTGAGTGCTGAATGTAACTGCTGAAGGATGGATGACATGAGCCTGATTGCGGCGCAGCAGCATCATCATGCAGGAGAACCAGATGAGTTTGATTGGAGAGGTGAGAGCTGAGGAGGAAAACAAAGCAGGCAGACAGGCCAGAATCATAACGGCGAGCTGTTTCATGGTGGTTTGTTTCACAGCAAATTTACTTTGCAGATGCATGTCCGTAAAACCAGACCTTTCCAACGCGGGATGAACAGAAATCTGTCACTAAAATGTTTGTAGCGCCACAATTTCTTATCTGTTTTCTGTAAATTATGGCTAAAGCTAAAGGAGAGAAAATTACAGGTGTTTTTATGCATAAAGTATGTTTTCTTTCTAAATATAAATGTATAGACAGTTTGGTTTCTGCCCTTTTTTATTATTAAATGTGGGATGTGCATTTTTAGACTTAACACAGTAAAACTTTTTTAGACTGTAAACTTTGGTTACTTCTTGTCTTCAGCAGCTTATTCCTTCTCAAAAATATATTCAACTGTTTACATTTTTTTCAAAATTTGCAACAGTAACATAGCAGAAGAGATGAAAATATTTTAAATTCACAGTAAACCCAGCAGTTATGTAGGAAACACACCTTTAGCACATATACATGTGGGTGATTGACAGCGCTATGCCCTGCCTCCTGACTCTCATTGGTTGTTTTTGCACTTCTTCAGACACCAAAAGTAGTTCAGGGAGGAATCGATCTTTTCACAGACTCAGTCTTGTATGAAGTTGTCAAAACATGGTGATGGTTACAACAGATATGTTAAAAAGTATATATTTTATTACTGTTACTGCAGATTTGATGTCCAAGCAGAAGAGAAACACAACAACGGTTTTCTCTTTGCAGGCTTTCATCCGGCCGTTCCGGGAGCACCACATCGACCCGACCGCCATCACTCGGCACGACTTCATCGAAACCAACGGCGACAACTGCATGATCCCCATCCTGCCGCTCGCCCACATGGCCTACAGGTTCCTCACATGCACACCAGGTACGAACCGCTTCGGTTCCCGCCGCTGCTTCCAGCTGCACTCCGTGGCATTTGGAAGTGACTCTGAGGACTCCCGAAGGTCAGATATTCTCCAGACTGTCAGGGTCAGAGCGGAGCGGCAAACAGGAAGTGGCTCCGGTGGTAGTCGTGCGCTCGGACCCCGAAGGGAGGGCCTGGAGGAGGAGCAGCAGCGGGAGGAGCAGGCAGAGCGCTTATTGAGGAGGTGACATCTCCACCTGTCATGTCTGCACTTCAACTGCAGCTCAAAGGTCGCTGATGGGAGGAGGACGGGGGCGGTGACACCAGTTAGCCGGGTTAAAGGCGGCGTGGCGCGGCGCTGCGGGGTTAAGCTGCTGCAGGCATCTGGAAGAGAGTTTCTGAGATAGAAATCATGATGGCTGAGCAAAACGAGCAAACCGTCGGTTCAGGAATGCTCCAGAACCGAGGCTCAGTCTGAAATGTGATCCAATCTGGTCTCCATGGTTACGGGTCAGTTTCCTTATGCGTGATTATTGATGGGCAGAAAGTTATAAATTTCCTCGTCCGACATCAAGTTGCTCTCATGATTTGTTGTGTAACTTTATCTATAAATAATCAAAATATTACTGCTTAAAGTAATGAGTATGTTTTAATGTCATATTTGAATAATTGATCAAAAATTTGTGTTAATATTAAACTATAAAAAAGTAACGAATAAAAAATATGTTTACCAGTATTATTACACTGTAAATATAATTAAATTTTTTTTCTAAATTATTGCTATAATTATTTACAAAAAATAATTAATTCAAATTGTCTTGAGATCTTTTTTTATTTCATATTAATATTTTTTAATAAAGTAAACACACAAAATAGTAATGTATAAATATTAAACTACATTAAAAAGGTAATAAATGTTTTTAGCAATGTAATTATACTTTTTGTATAATTTCTATTTTCCTAAATTATTACTATAAATACTTGCAATAAATAATTATTTTAAATACTTACATTTTCTTGCATTTTATGCCAAATAATTAAAATCAGAAAATATGTTTTAACCTGGAGAAAAAGAGGATTTTGTGACCTGGAGCTAAAAACAAATGGCCGCTCTTCATCATGAAGGCTGAGCGTGAGGACGATGAAGGATGAGAGGACAGCTGAAGTCCACCTGTAGGGGACGTCCCACCCACCCCCACAGGGGGTCAGGGGTCACCGATCGGGGACGCAGACGCGGCGACATGTCCGCCTGTCATGTCCGCTCCCGAAGAGGTCACCGCTAAGCGCTGGAGCCGGAGGGCGGAGAGGGGCGGGGGCGTCCGAGGGTCACGCAGCGGCTAGATGACATCTAAACCTGTCATGTCGACGCCTTGCCGTGTCACAAAGACGGAGACGCAGGACGATTCGGAGAGTTGACGTCTCCAGCTGTCATGGCCGCTCCTGAACTGAGGTCAAGAGATTGTGGTTTTTATATCTGCAGAGACGGAGAGGGGACGTGTTGAGAGGAGGACGGATGGAAGTCGTTTCAGCAGAAGACGGTTAGCGAGTTCATGTCTGTTGGATCAAATGGTTACAGAAATCTGGTGCAAAGATGTCGGTTAAATTCTGATTCACTTTTTTAAATCGGCAGAAAAAAACAATAAGCTCCTGGTTTCATCATCCAGAGCTCAGTTTCATCAGTCTGCCTGCTGTTTCAGTTTCATTCAAACCAGAAGAAAGAGCGAAAGATGGTGGTTGTGCCGAGTATTACTGGCAGTCAGTGTCTTCCTTTGAGTATTTCTGCGACAAAAAGAACCAATTGATTAATAATTTGTCTAACAGTTGGTTATAGAAAGCATGATTTAGTTTAAACCTGTGATATGAATAGCAATTTCTTATTTATTAAAATAAATTGTTTTATACACATTTGTTAAAACTTTCTCTATGTTTTGATAGTATAGTATGAGAGCTACTAATGCTACCAACCAAAAACAACCAGTAGGTGGGCCTTAGTGCTGTCAATCAATCTCATGTACTTGCTGCTAAATGTTTCTAATGGCAGAAAAACAACTTCACATTACAGGAAAACCGTTTTTCCACAGTTATCGGTGGCTATGCTAACTAGCCTTAGCGTTCATGACAGACTGTGTTGTGGTGAACCAGCTGTAGCATAGCAGAGAGCAAAGGGCAGAGTGTGAGCGGCGCCACACTGAGGTGATTGACAGCGCTAAGACCCTCCTCCAGGATCTGATTGGTTGTTTCTAGCAGAAAAGCCCAACTTTTCCTCCTCCTTTCAAATTAAAACCGTTTTAAACCAAAGAAAAAGAATCAACCGTAGTGTTTTCTTACCGCACCGTAGCCTGAAATACGCAGCTCTTATTTTAAAAGAAACATTTATTTTGAAGGGTTGTACATTGTTTTAAGGAGCTACATCTGCACCCAGTGAGTAAATGAAGTTTATGAGAACTGCACTGTTATAATTGCCATCTATTAAGTGTTAAAGGTTTTTAATTTTAACCTGTTTTGTCTCTCAAACCGTAAAATAAAAGCGTATTTGAACATTCTCTCACTCAGAAGGATTTGGAGGTTTTTTCTCCCTGACTCCTACTTTTGGTTCACAGCTTTGCATCGCCGCTCGCTGTGTGAAATTCAGTTTCGGTGCCACTTTGTCACAGTCGGAAAACCACTTATCTGCTGTTCGCCGTCCCTCAGCTGAGCTGCAGTTTACCTGCATCAGAATATGGATAAACACACACTGTCCCTGGACGGGAAGGATGTGTGTAAAGGGGAGGAAATACGGGGGATTGAAGCATTTTAAAGGGAACGATAATGATGCACTGTCTTCCTTTTGACTTTTTTTCAGGTAGCTTTCCACCAGAAACCAAAATCAAAGAGATGAGTTTAGAGAGAACAGAAATATCTTCAGGATCATCAGCAACTCATTAAATAAAAAAATGTAAATCATATTTATTGTATTTCTTTCACACTTAACCTCAAACAACTTGCATCCTGTGCATCTCTACTCTTTCACCAGAGTTTGGGAGTTTGATTTCTAAATAAATTTAATTTATCTGGTGATTAATCAATTGCTGAATAACAGTCAACTATATTAGTAATCAATTAATTAACTGGCAAAATGCTATTTGTTAGGGCATTTTAGGCAACAAAAGGGTTAAAAATGCATCAGTTTTAATTGAACTGATGTACAACAACATGTCTGTATTAAAATCCTTAAATATTAAAAAGTTTTCAGTTGCTGTAAGACAAAATTATTAAAATTAACTGGGGATTTTACCCAGAATGCCCTGCGCCACAGCCCGCTTGTTGCTCAAGTTACTTTAACAGGTTGTTGCTAGGTAACTGAAGAGTGAATGAGTTGCTAGGTAACCAAAGAGTGAATGAGTTGCTAGGTAACCAAAGAGTGAGTGAGCTTGTTGATTCCACCAACCTAGCTTAGCTGGCTATAAGAGGTTGAGCGGCTAACGCCTTACCTCTGCCTTCATCTCCCAGAATGCTTTGCGGTTCTGTATTGGAGTTCAGTGACATTTTATCAATCAATCAAATTGTATTTGTATAGCACATTTCATCAGCAAGGCATTTCAAAGTCCTTTACATAATTAAAAACAGAAACACAGAGTTGTGTAATATTGAAAAAAGTGGAAGGGGGAAAAAATTAATAAATAGATAAAAAGTAAAGGTATAAAATGCTTACAGACGTATTATTTACTGATCTATGGATCACGTGTTTATAACGACATATACTGTTGATTTGTTGTCCAGCCTAACCCTCCAACTACTCATAACTTTCCGAAGAACCCCGAGTCAAAGATGTGTAATGTCCCTTTAACGTTTATAAATGCTGCCTGAGTTTCTAAAACTGAAACCAAAGGTTGATCTGACTCATCATAGATATTAAAACTGTTAGAATTCCCAGTAAAATTTTTATAAAAACATTTCTTCTGGGGTTAATATCTTTTGTTTTTCAATAACTTACGGTTTTTAAAGTATTTGCTTCGCAAACTTTCAACGTGTTTCTGTCTTGACGAGTCAGTGACCCTTTATTCTTCTCATTTCAGAGGCCTTGGCGGCGTCCTACCCCTGGGACTGCTACGTGTTCGCCTTGGCGGTTTTTGTGACACTGACCAATCAGATCCATAAGTGGAGCCACTCCTACTTCGGCCTCCCGCGCTGGGTCACTCTGCTGCAGGACTGGCACCTGGTGTTGCCACGGAAACACCACCGGATCCACCATGTGTCACCGCATGAGACGTACTACTGCATCACCACAGGTACGCACCGCCTAAACCAGGCTGAGGTCTGGACTTTGACTGGGCCATTGCAACACCTTGGCTCTTTGTTTTCAGCCATTTTGTTTTATCTGGGATCCTGGCTCTGCAGATGACCCAGTTTGGACCTCATTTATTGACTCTAGAACATTCTGGAATCAGGGTTTTTGCACAACTTTTAGTGTTGAAAAGTAGGAAACTACAGTATTTTTCAGGTTTGGAGTAAAAATAAACATTTTGAAATATTAAATAATATTTGGTCAGTTACTCAGCACGGTTGGTCAGCTGATTTTACCGCTGTATGCGCTGTACAATGGCTGCTGGAAAAGACAGGTGGCTCCACTTCTACTTTTCAAAGACGCATGATTATATAATTGTGCGTCTTTTTGTGGCCATTTTCACGTGTGAGTTTAAACGTTGAGCTGGGGGGCGTGGCCAGCAGCAGATTATTTGGATTTAAAGACACATGGCTCCCTAAAACAGCTCATTGTGAAAGGAGAAAACTAAAATCTCATCATCTAAGAATTATTTTGTGCAATAAAATGTGATGAACATGTTTTGTATAGGCCACAGACATATCTTTAGAAGCTTATTAAGGACACACAAAGTCGGCCATTTTGGATGGTTATAACAGAAGACGGTGATTCCAGAATAATTTAACTTTCCCTGCATATTCACATAAAATGGCGACTGTGTGTGTGGAGGCTTATAAATAACTAAAAGCAAATGTTGTGATAAGAGTGCGTGTAGGTCTTTGGAGACCCGAGGCCTGTGTCACACATCCACACTCTGTATTCTGCCTGCATCTGGGTGAGAGCGGGGGGGATCCTCGAGGGGCGGCTCGCCTCGTGCGTCACCCTGCGCCCCAGCGGACGCCAGATGTGAGCCGGAGCTGTCGGGGGTGGCACGGCGAGCGCTCCAGTACATCTGCATCTGTTAGTGCGCGCTGGTCGCTCTGACCTCCTCTCCGGTTCCTAACCTGTGCGTGTGGAGGAAGGAGGTGGCGGTCGGGGACGGCGGAGTCGTCCCCTGCGGTCCCCTGCGCGCGCTGCCTGGCTGCCTGGGCCCGGCTCGGGGGCCTCTGGGGGCCCGCCTCGCTGCCTTTGTGTTCGCCACCGGCTGACAATCCCCATGTATATTTAATGCTAACCTGCTGTCTGTTCTAACAAATAGGACTTCACAGGCAGCAGAGGGGAGGGTGGAGGACAGGGAAGGACGACGGGGGAGGAAGCAGGGATTTGGAGGGATCAAAAAAGGGAAAACATGGAAAAATGCAGGAAATAAAACAAAACCTCTGGATACTTTACCATATTTAAACCAGTGGAGGGTTTCTGTTTAATCAATAGATGCTCTCTCACTCTGTCTGTAATAACTCTAGATGTTCATGTCTGCGCTGCTGCTACATGGGTGCCATGCATTCATTCATGTGTACATGTAAATGTATTTTGGCCTGCAGCCACACATCCATGAATGTGCTTAACTCAGAAAGATAAATTCAGCTGCTGGACTTCTGTAAACATCACAGGAAGTGAGAAGCTGTAGGTGTGTGTGCGCGTGCGTGTGTGTGTGCGTTGGTAAGGTTAAGGATGTCTCCTGGGATGACCCTCCATCTTTCTGCTCATGATGATGAGAGTCAGACAGGAGGCTTTAAATTTAAAAATGGAGGCATTATGATTTGAAGCCTCCTGCTGCCATCATTATGTGTTAGGCTAACTCTGAATGCTAATCATACATATAAGTTCAGCTAGCACTAAGGCTCCACACCAACCCGGTATTTAGCGTTAGCGCCAGCTTCAATTCAAAAGAAACTCTTCAAACCTGAACCTTAGTTTAATATTCCATATTTATATTTTATTCTCTGTTTTCAGTGTTTTATTTTGCTCTTGTATGTTTCTTGTTTGAAATAAAGTTAGAGGAAAATGTGAGGACAGGAAATGGAACCTGCTGTCTTCCTCCACTTCAAAATAAGAGCATGAATACAAACGGCTAACTACTTGAAGAGGTCTTTAGTCGATAGCTGAAACTTTGACACAGATGTCAAGCTTTATTCAACTGCAAGTAAATTATCGCTGTAGAATTTATCTGGAAAACATTTATTTAAGGGAAGCTAAGTGCGCTCAGTTAGCGAAAGCGCTAAATGAAAAATTACCTTCACCTTCTGGAAGGTGCAGTTTGCAGGAGGGCTAGAGGGAACCAGCCTCCATGTTGGCATTCCTAAGTCCTCCCTCTGCAGATATGATGAAGAGAAACTAGCTGTCCAAAAGAGCCAAAGCTCTTCTTCTTTTACCAAATGTGATTTAAATAATTATCCTCTTTTTTATCTTTCCTATCTCCTTCTGTTTTCAGGGTGGTGCAACTATCCACTGGACCAGCTGGGCTTTTGGAGACGGATGGAGTGGCTGATCGAACAGCTGACGGGCCAGAGACCGCGATCCGACGACATGGCATGGGCCAAGAAGACCGACTGACGGACAAACCCAGTGAAACCAGTAACAGGGGAGAATCAGGCGTGTAAATGCAAATATGCTGAGGTAGAAATGATGGACAGATGTTTAGAAACGGAGACGAACTTTTTTTTCTGGTATCGCTGCGCTTCTCGCTTTTTTTTCTGCTTCAGAACAAACGATGTGTCCAGAGAAAGAAAAACTTTGATGTTGGTGTAAAAGCTTTCTGGATGTTCTGCATCCATCGGTTTGTCTTTAGACTCCTGAGGTGTTTGTTTAGACGTGGTTCAGGTTTCTGGAGGTTGGGCTCTCCAGAAGAGACGCTGAGCTGTTTGGGACCAGCAGCTCTTCATACCAACACATAACGAAAGGAAACATTCGGTTACCGTCTTTATTCTGTTTCTTTCTTGGTTTATTGGGGGATTTTTTTGTCAGGACCCACAAAGCAGGTTAAATTATGTTTAAAAAATGGCTACATTCTCACAGAAGAGTAAAAATCAGCTAATTTTATGATGTTTCCATCTAATATTTTGGGATCTATATTAACTTTAAAGATTTTACATATTTGCTGATTTGAACACTTGATCTTCATCCTAATAACTTCAGTTTGATGTTATGATTCGTATTCAAATGTTTGTTAGATTAGATCAGACTTAGACTTTAACTTTTAAGATTTTGGATGAATCCATACTTTGCTAGAAACAAACCACATTGGGATCCAGAGGAGTAATCAACTATAAATATCCGTCCAACTCGCATAGAAATGGGTAAAAATTAAAAACATCAAATCCTAATGTCGGTTCATCACTTCATCCATTAACCTAATCATCGATCAATCAACCCCACCCAAATAGACCATCCAACCAAACCAACCCCCACTTAACTCTATTAACAAACCAACCAACCCCACCTAGTCAGATTCCCCAACAAACCCCACCGAAATCGTCAACCAAATCCTAAATCTCTAGGACAAAAGTAAACCAAATCAAGTTACCATTGTTGCAGGTGCTCGTAATGACAGACACAACTCACTAGGTGGCACTCTTGTCAAACAGAGTAATATATTTTCACATTTATCAGTAATGTAATGCCAATCTTTTCATCTATTGACATATGATAAGCTTACAGATGTTTCTACATTTAGGTAGATCTATCAAAATGTGCAGCGTTTTATTTAATATGTCAGCAGTGATGGTGCAGTATGTACGTTTTCCACAAAAAAAAAAACAAAGAGGAAAAAAACAACTAAAGGATGTTCTGTATTAAAAATAATGTGATTTTGGTGAAATAAGTAGAAGCCCCTCCCCCTTTTTGGACCTCCATATATTGGCCCCGCCCCTTTTGGGACTTCCATATCTTGGCCCCGCCACTTTTTTGGACCTCCATATCTTGGCCCTGTGCCTTTTTTGAGCTCCATATTTGGGCCACTCTTTACTGCTGAAACACCAGTGGTGATGCCAGACACAGGACAGAAATGTCTCATTTTACTCTCACTGATGTATCGATTGCTCATACAGTCGACACATCAAAACGTAAATATTTCTGCCTCCTTTCCCCCAGTGTGTCTCCTGCTGCTGTCGGACTTACAGTTTTCTGTCAGATCAGCTCAGAGTGCAGAGAGCACAATCTAATTCACCTCCATTATGTCTTTCTAAAGTGGAACATACAGTCTCGGTAACTTGTATTTTCTACATAAAACTACAAACTCTTAAAAATTTACATGAAGGTCCTGGAGCTCCTGGTTTAGCGATTTTGTAGTTTTTCCACAGCAACTCTTTGAGTTTTAAATTTTCAGTCTGTTTTCTGGCAGAAATCGCCATAGCAACCAGTGACTCAGCGTTTTCTCTGGTTCTTTTGTATTAATCAATCAGGCTTGGTCACATAGACCATGATAATTCCAGTTATTGTGACTCCTGATTAAACTTGATTGAATCAGGAATTGAGAGGTTCTTAGGAAAAGCAGGAAAGGGGTTCTAGCTCAGACTTTCAAAATAAAAACTCCAGACAGCTGCAGTGTCTCTTCAAAATTTCTGTTAACATTTTATTGATCATGAAACGGGAGCTTTTATTTCCAGCTTTTTTTGCTTCATTTAGAGAACGTTGTGGAATTGGACAGGTTGTTTTAGTATGAAAATACACTGAAAATAATGTGAATAAAACTTTAAGATCTTCCATTTACCAAATGAAAATAATGTTTGTTTCATTTGTGACTTCTGGGTTTACAGCTCAGTCACACTTATCAGGTCGTCGGGACCGAAAATAAAATGTAAAAGTTGATCTTTGATCCTGCTTCAGATGTTTTCACTAAAGTGATTGCTTTATTGGCAGCAGAGGGAGTCCGCTCCTGACTGAACCCGAGCATGAAGTCAATTTTCTGGGGGAAGAAATTCCCAGCTCCGCTCTGACGCTCAATCAGATGAGAAATGGGAAAATAAATTTTTTGGTTTTTGCTTCTGTAACCGTCTGCTGCAGAGTTGAGCTGCTTCTCTCTTGGCTTTATTTCTGAAAGCTGCTCCAATCACAGATCAGCAAAAACATCAGCAGCATTTTATGGTTCCACCAAGTAAACAGCGTCTTGAACGCTTCACTCACAGATGAAATCACAGATGATGCATGCACACTGACAGAACGACTCTGTGTTCTGTTGTTTTTCTCTGGCTTTATAATTTTCTATTTTTTTATGAACAGATCGAGCCTTGTTTGTTTCCATTTTGCAGCTCGCTGCTGGTTTGCCTTAATGTTTTTATCTGCTGTTTGATTTGAATAAAGATTTAGTAACTCCTGATGTTGCCTCAATGCTCTGATCTGTTTTCAAAAACTTTTATTAAACTAAAGATTTTCTCTGTAGCTTTGAACTGCAGATGAAGAAATATTTAAACAATTAAATCTTATGATCCCAGAAGTTGTCTGCGCTGCTTCGATGTCTCGAGATTTTTCTTTTGTCCCTGTTTTAGATTTAAAGTTTTCTTAAAATATGGATATTTTTTCTAAATAGGAGCACCAAATGGCTTGTTTTTATAATAAATTGCATTTTTAAAATTGGTTTTTGTTCCAAGCGCTGCAGTTAAATGTCAAAGCTAAACCAACAGCGCCCTCTAGTGTCTGCTGTTTAATAAATCTGTCAGATTTGACTTCAGTATTTCACAATAAAATATTAGCTTTTAAATGCATCTATTTATGAAAGTTATTATGTTTTTAGTTAACTTTGAGAATCACATCTGCCTTGTAAATCAAAAGGAAGAAAATATTACTTTGAGGGAATTACTGTTAAATTAAACTTGATCAGAATTAACACTAAAACTTTCCACTTTTTTATTATTTCCCTAAATCACAGCAAACATCAGATCTATTGGCAAATTTATTTTGTCAAATGTCTAATTTAATCAAGATGATCCAGTTTAAACCCTTTCCCAGAGGAATTGGACTCAGCTCTGTGAAAACGTTGAATTAAGCCAGATGATTGACTTTGATGAAACTGAGGAAGCACAGGGCGACAGTGGAGAGGAACAAGCTCTTTTAGCAGAACCAGAGATAAGTAAACTCTGTAAATATTGGTTTGACATAAATAATAGAGGAAATAATAAATAAAAAAACCTCCCAAATCCTCCAGCAGCCTGTGCATGTAGCAGCAACACTCACTTTCATTTAGGCTGCCTAAATTGAATTAGTGATTAAATCAATAAAATTTGGACAAATAAATACGACAAGGGCATGCGTGGGTTTTCTCCGGGTACTCCGGTTTCCTCCCACAGTCCAAAAAACATGACTGTTAGGTTAATTGGTCTGTCTAAATTGCCCCTAGGTGTGTGTGTGCGCATGGTTGTGTGTCTGTGTTGCCCTGCGACAGACTGGCGACCTGTCCAGGATTTGCCCCGCCTCTCGCCCGGAACGTTAGCTGGAGATAGGCACCAGCACCCCTCCCGACCCCACTGAGGGACAAGGGTGTTCAGAAAATGGATGGAAATACGACAAGGTATAGGACCACACTAATAAGGTAAAAAAAAAATACAAGAAAGTTATATTACAATTTATTCTCAAAATATTATTTTAATCTCAGCATTTTGACTTTATTCTTATATTAGTCTAACTTTATTCTCAAGATATATTATTTTGACTTTTAGTCTTATACAACTTTATTCTCAAAATATGATTTATTCTCATTATTGTGACTTTATTCTCATACTTTATTCTTGTAATACAGACTTCTTGCAATCGTATGACTATTCTTGTAATAGTCTGACTTTATTCTCATATTTCGACTTTATTCTCGTAATATTATGACATCTTGAAACAGCATAACTTTATTCTTGTAAAACTACTTTTATGATAATTGTCATTTTTATTTGTTTGATTTTTTTTTCATTAATATACTCCGTCGCATGCTGGTAACTGAATATATTTCAAAATGCAGCAGAAAGCCGATCAATAATCGTCGGTTTAGTGGAAACAGAAAGTATCCTGATTAATTTCTGCGATGCTGTGTGAAATCCTCCCGCAGCCGCTAATCATCATGTGTCAGACTGTGTCGCCATCAAAGCCCGGCTCTCGGTGAGGCTGATGGAGGCTCTAATAGCTGCCAGCGTGACGCCCTGATCAGTCGGGCTCATCAGCCTGGTGAGATCCAATATGTCACCGCGGTGAGTGAGACGCGCCGCACGCGGGCCTTGTTAGCGCGGCGCGCGGCGGAAGTGACGAAGGCGCTCCTACTGTGGATCAGAAAGGAGCGACGGTGGAGGAGCTGGGCGGCGTGTCGCACCAGAGAGGCAATGAAGGATGTTTACATGCCGACTGTAGCTGAGTTGGGTTGTAACTTACTGTATTAACTTTTTTTGAAGTATTTTACTTCGCTGTACTTGTTTACTTGAGTAATTCTTTGCTGCTCTTACTTGAGTAAAATTTCTGGATTTTCTACCCACTGAATGAAAAACAAACTGAAAATTCACCAGACACAGACGCACCTGCAGTTTTTGTTAAAGTTTCATAAGTTAAAGTTTTAAAACTTTTTCCAAATCAAATAAACTGATTTGGAAAAATAAATATTTTTAAACTATACTCAAGTTAGAGATACTTCATAGTAAAATTGCTCAATTGAAAGTAAAAACTACAGCATAGTTGGGTTTAAAAAAAAAACTACTCAAGTAAATGCAATTGTGTAAATGTAACTATAGTTACTACCCATCTCTGGGGTTTAGCGCAGCTAGTCTGTTAGCTGGGCGGCCAACAGCTGCTCTGTTCCTGACTTTAGGTGGAAGTGATGTTTCCACCCTCAGAAAGTGAAAACTTCGGACAAAAAGGGCAGCAAATAAGCTACTTCTGCCGAAGAAAACCTTAAATCTTCAAGGACAAACAGATTCTGCAGAAAGAACAAAACAGAAGAACAGAATAAGACAAAACCAATCAACTGCATTTAAAAAAAAAAGAAGAAATGTAAACTCCTTTCCATTGTAGGTGAAAATCAGTGGCTTTATTTTTAAGATGTACAGAGAATCTGTATTTTTTTGTTCATTTCCCACTCTGGAACCGCGGCCAGATTAGTTCCCAATTAGAGGTAAATAAAACCTAATTGGGCTGATCACAGCTTGGAACAAAAAATCCCAGTGAAGTCAGCAAGTGGAAGTAACAAAGAGCTCCAACTCTCTCTAATGACATGTGTAAGTGTGGCAGCAGGTGACTTCTGTCAGACGAGGTGTGAGCGTCGTCTTGTTAAACGTCAAGGTGTGTTCACACTCCTGTCGCCGGCTCGCTGTGTGCGCTCAGTTCTGCACGTACAAGAATGTGTTTCAGTTTCCGCCTGGTGTGGATGCCTGAACCTGCATGGCTCCACGTGTGCCACTCTCACCTGCAGGTGCTTCTGCAGGTGAGAAGGCCAATTAAGTCACTGTAGCCCTCGTCAAGAGGCTTGACTGGATTCTGTAGCGTTCTAATGGGTTTTATTAAGAGGAATAAAGTATCAGTTTTACATTTTCCTTCTTGTTATTCAATATACAACACTAAATTTTAAGTTTGCAGAGAAATAACAATGACAAGTTACTAAGCACTTATGGGTGAGGTTTGGGAGAAAACTGAAAGATTTGTAAAATTTTCTGAATCTACGGAGACCCTGAAGTGCAAACAAATCACTAACCACAACTACAAATTAAAAAACACAACATATTCAAAAACACAATAAGCACAAATATAAATTAAGAAATCATGAAGATAAATAAGTTTTTAGTAGCTATTTTAATGTTACATATGTTCATATTTTCAGCAAATGCACAAAAAGTCGGAATATTTTCCGATTCTAAAGTCAAAAATTGAATTATCCAATCAGTGATATTTTAGGTTTATCTCTTCTATTTTGTTAATGTCATGTTTTCTTAAGTTGTAGTTTTGCTTAGTTAATGTTTTGATTTCTTAATTCGTAGTTTTGCTTAGTTAATGTTTTGATTTCTTAATTTGTAATTTTTGCTTATTATGCTTATTTTTTCATATATTGTAGTTGAATAGTTTGTAGTTGTGTTTAGTGATTTGTTCATATGGTTTGTACTTCAGGGCCACCATAGAAGCCTATTAGAAAGTGTCACTTTGTGTTGCAGTTCTCTAAAAGTTTCTTATAAAAGGTAATCTGTAAACCACATGTGTCCAACTCAGGGCCCGGGGGCCAAATCCGGCCCGCCCTAGCTTTTTTATTTGGCCCCCTTAGCTAGGAGTTTATTATTTATCGTGAACACTTCCATATCATGATAAGAATTTTGATTTATCTTTGTCATGATAAATTTAAGTTATTTATGATAAATGAAAAAACTAAGGAATATTAGCTGTTTCAAAAACCTCCTGAATACCAAGTTAAAATTGAGGGAACTCAACTGTTACCTAGCAACCACAGCTGAGCCTAGTTCGTTACCTAGCAACCCAAGCAATGCTCCAGCACATTTGGTCAGCTGGTAATAGCTGCTGGAAAGAAACCACTTGCTACATTCTTGTTGGCTGCGCAATCCCCATCAAATGTTACTCAGCAATTTGGAGGTTTTTGAACTGATACATTTTCCTGACATCATAAAAAATTCACTTATTATAAAATAAAACAACAGCTAGGTGTTTTTTTTAAGTGCTTGGTCTGTTTTTAGAAGTAGTAAAAATCAAAATGGAAGCATTAAAATGTGCTGCCATTTAAAAAAAACCTCCTGAATGGATTTTTGCTGTTCTTGTTTTACTGAAATTGAACAACCTCAACGAATAAGTCGATCCCTTTAAATCTCCTATGTAACATCGTCATATTTATCTTGTACAGTTTAAATTCTTGACCAAACAAAGTAACCCTTTACCTACAGTGAAAAAAACCAACCAGTGACGACCTTTCCTTTGTCATGTAAACAGTAATTTCATTCGATGTTTATTCTCTAGGTGGGTTCAGGGGGAATCTGGATGTTTCCAGTGTCCTGGTTAATATCTGACATCAAACTGCAGGAACCGGCCCACAAACTGTCACACTCCCACTCCACTCACTGGGAATGTTAATTAAATATCTGGATTGTGCATTAGTGTGTGTTGGTGAAATAGAATTGAAATTAATAATAAGTTGTTGCTAAAGTTGTTTTCCCACCTGATAGTTCGGTAGAATCGGTTCGATTGGGGATCAAAATTACAGCATTTGTTACATTTCCATCTGCTGCGGTTCTCTTTCACACTGCAAACGAACCAAGCTAATTTAAAAACCTGTTCCCCTCCTCGCCTGTGGGGGCGCAACTTCCTTCTTCACGAAATGTGAACAAAAATAGAGTAGCGTCAGATTTTAGCGGTTAC